AACCTTAAGGTCGGCAGGTCGAAACTACCAGCCATTCCGCAGAAGAAAGATGAGACTTTCTTCTCCCGTAAAAATTTACAGTCTCAGAAACCCTGTACAGGGTCACTATGAGTTGGAACCGACTCCACAGCACTTAACAACAACAACAGCCCCTTGTAATGGAGTCCTGGTGTGGTGCTGTGGGCAAATACATCAGGCTGCAAAGTCATTTGAACTGTAAGGTTGATGGTTCAAGCTCACCAGCTGCTCCTTGGAAATCCTACACATGGTCGCTATGGGTCAGAATCGACTCGATGATACTGGTAAAATATGAATAAAGTGTCTTTACTAAATTGTTACTGTTATTAGGTGTCACCAAGTAGATTTTTGGCTCATAAGACAAAGTGGAAATGCCCCCAAAAGATTCCCTCGGCTGTAAATCACCAGGGAAAGGAACGAAAGCTGGTTTTGAACTACCAAACATTCAGTTAGCAGCTGAGTGTTTAACAACCATTGCATCACCAAACCCAACCCACTCTTTTCAAGTTGATTCTAACCCATAGCAACCCTATAGGACACGGAGTAGAAGTGCTGCTATGGGTTTCCAAAGCTGTCACCTTTATAGACTTGTTTTAATTTAAAATAAGTCCACAAGAGTCAAAGTACTGTCTTGAGTATATCACATCTGGACTTAGAGACTATCTCAAGGACAGATTTGATGCAACAAACAATGACTGAAGACCAGAGGAGTTATGGGAGGACATCAAGAACATCCTACATGAAGAAAGCAAAAGGTCATTAGAAAGACACAAACGAAGGAAAAGACCAAAATGGATGTTAGAAGAGACTCTGAAACTCGCTCTTGACTGTAGACTAGCTAAAGTGAATGGAAATGGATGGCAGTAAATGAGCAGAATAGAAAATTTCAAAGAGTGGCTTGAGGAGACAAAGTCAAGTATTATAATGAAATGTGCAAACACCTGGAGTTAGAAAACCAAAAGGGAAGTTCATGCTTGGCATTTTTCAAGCAGAAAAAAATGAAGAAAAAATTCAAGCCTTGTGCTGCTTAACATGGGTCTTGTAGCTATAGTTTTTATTGTTGTTGTTGTAGCTAAGTGCCGTCGAGTCGGTTCAGACCCATAGCGACCCTGAACAGGGTTTTCGAGGCTATAAATCTTTTTTT